TACAGTTACAGTTATATTTTAATAAACAAAGATAATATATATTGATTATTTTAGAATATATTTGCTATTTTATACATAGCTCTAAGAATGTTTTATAGTTGATTTTTACCAATTAAATACTTTAAATTTCTCTTGCATATTTGTTTTTGTTCTCATAGTATTGGGTGCACAGGAATCCTGACGTATGGCTATGTCACAATATATGAATATGGAAATGTTAATTTACGTTTATGTTTGTTTTTTAAAACATCGATACAAATTATAACACCAGGAATAATATTATGCCTTCTTCTATGCATACATTGTAACATACTAAATTGCCATGCATCAAACTCCGACCTCCCTAAATAAGTTGTTCCGTTTAAGTTCGTTCCGGCCACTTCTCGCAGCACTTCACTTCCAAAAGGAACCGCTAGTTATATAATTATATTAGAATACTGCATTTCACAATTCATGATGGTTTAATTTTGAAGAGTGAATGATTCAAGATAATGCACACTGTAATATTACATACCAGCTACAACTAGAACAATTGATATTAAATAATTAGTGGAAATTTGTGTATTCAAGTGTATGTCATCAAATATGATATAAATGATTATGGTCTTCTTTCATTGTACCATCGTACAACAAGGACTTTCCTCTTCTGGAATTTGGTAAGTTATTTTGACATGCAAGTTAACTTTTAGCTTATTATAGATTTTTGAATTTAAGATATGATTTACTTTATATTGAAAGTAAATCAATTCTTGAATGATTGAAAAATCTATCCGATGAAAATGGCATGAAAATCAAAACAAAAAAATATTCATGGCCCATGATAAAAATATAAACTCAGGGTCATGGAAATGCCCTGAAAAAAATGTCATGGGTTTTTAATGGTGCTTAAATTATCCAGAGATGATATTCATGGGCCCTGAAATCGACAAAAATTCCAGGGAAAATCATGGTTTTTTCCATGGGTTTTTCATGGTAAAATCATGCCATAGTGCCATGAGAAACCCGTGATTAAAGCAGTAAAAAGCAGTTAATTTCCCATGGTTTTCCCATGAAAAAGAGCATGGGTTTCTCGTGGGTTTTCAGTTCATAGTGAAGTCTATTATTACTTGTTTGTTTGCTTCCATGTACTCCATGTAGATCACTTCAGTCGATACGAAAACCTAGTGGCTTTAAGTGATTCACAGAAAAATTCCATGTCTTTTTCCACTTATTTTAAAGAAATTTTCCAGGTTGTTTTCATCAAGAAAGAAAGGGAAAAGATCAATAAATTTCTTATGATGTAATTTGTGAGCTATGAAGAAAAATGCTTTCCAAACTGTGGAAAAAACATAGACTTTTATCATGTTTTAACGTAGTAATTATAATCACACAAAAAACAAGCTTTTTCAGATTACCCTTTTCGTTTAGAAGCGGGAAATGAGAAATGTCAATTTTATTTTGAAAATAGAATTGCCGGAAATTGCCACTGCTTGTTTTTTGATAATTTATTCAGACGAAAGGATTGAAAATTATCACACATTTTTTAAAAAAAATGTGGACCTTTTTTAATTTTCATGCAAACTGCGCAATTACGAAAACGTCATTTTTTTTCAGAATTTCCCCTATTTTGAGAAGTTTAAAATGGGTTTTTCAGGTATTTCATGAATTTAATTTCCCCATTTCTTTGTGAAAGTAGAATTGCCGGAAATTGCCACTGATTCATATGATTTCTGATTGTCAAGAATACTCCAATCTTCGCCTAGAATTTCAGTCTAAGCTAAATGACAAAATTGATTTTTCCGCAAATTATATAACCAAATTAATGAAATCCACAG